TATATATATATATATATATATATATATATATATATATATATATATATATATATATATATTGGCGTGCATCACGGCCGGATCATAAACGGCTAAATAAGCAGCCAACCGAGATGAATTCGTGCGATAGCCGCCTTACGCTCTCTCGGCGTGTACGGCTGCCTGTCATGCGGTTGGAGGTTACAGGCGCCGCGAGGACGCTCCTAGGTAGGTTACCTGCACCGGAGCGGCGTGCAGGGACCGCGCCTCGACGTTTTCCGTATCTCGCGGGGCGATCTAATTGTTTCATAGGTGAACACAGATGCTGTCGCTGTCGTGGCTGCCTCGCGGACCAGAACCGACCGTTGCCGAGGACTGCGGAGTATCGCCGCCGCGGCCACCGGCAACGGAATGTAGTATCCTCGTGAGATAGACCCGCGGAATATTTATCGCGCGTAATACCGATCTCAACGTGGACCGTGTTCGTCTGACAACGCGATGTGAAGTCTTCCTCTTTAATAAAAAAAAAAGATTTAAAGAAAACTTGAGTTATATAGAAAAATATATTTGTAGACAATATTAACAAAAAAAAAGAGTCCCAGTTGAGTATATAGAATCGAATGAGACAAACTCAATTTCTGGTCCCGAATTTGTTCAGCAAACTTCTTGGACTGTCTTGATCACCTCTTTGTGTGAGAATAGCTGAAAGAGGCGATTATAAAGCTAAGCCGACGTATTGTTAGTCGTATTTGTTGTCTGATTCAATTAACCTTCCATCAGAGGCAGGGTTACTCGAATCATGCAGTTTGATCAATCTTTGGGCAGTTGAAAAACCACTTGTGTCATACATACAACTTGCAGTTCCGTTAAACTGTTACCGTTGGATACATTTTGCACTTCGACCTCCTACGTCAGATTGTCGATCTGACTCGATTTTTATGCCATTTAACGTGACTGCAGGATTTTAAGACTTGGTTCCCTTTATCAGATTGTCTTTTCAACACAGAGAGACCGCGAATCGAGACGCCAACGCGCGATTTCTCTTCCGATCGCCGCCGATTGTATCGATTGATAAATTCGCAGGGTGTTCTTAGGGGCGCGCTCTCGCCGGACTTTACGGGACCACGCGTTCATTAATGAGGCTCGTGAAGCGCTTAATCTCGCGAAGATTTAATATCCGACGAGGCAATCTCGCGATCGGCGTCCCCGCGTAGCCTCGTCGACGAGCGCTGGCCACCAATGACAGGGTTAAGGGCCATCGGAGAAACGATACCGTCTACTTTGCATACATTATCATTTTCTGGCCGGCCCCTCTCGGGAATTTTCGAGAGGCGTTCCCGCGTGACCCGTCGTCGTCGTCGTCGTCGTCGTCGTCGTCGTTCGCTCATGCAATAAAGTTCGAAACAAGTATGACGTATGTTCACATTTATACGCGGCCACGTCACGGCGGTGTCATTAGGTGTACAGCGCGAGTTGCTGCTCAGTATTGTGTCGAGCAATATAGCCGAGAGAATGTTCTAGGCATTGCTTCGACGAAAATTTCGCGGCGCACGTGTCTCGTCAAGAAACGTTCCCGAATCGAAATTTTCATCCTACTTTCAGCTTTGCTTTCAATATTCCATTCAACGTCTATTTTGATACTCTGAAACCTACATCAATCTCTTTTGATTTCATTTAACTCAAGTCGAAGTTTAAATTCTACTTTCAGCCTCACTATTTCATTCAATATTTCACTCAATACTTATTTTGACGCTGAAGGAAGTGAAAAGAGAAATTTCGGATCATCAGAGCTGAAATAGGAGTAAAATGTATTATTGGAATTAAACCTACTTTGCTAACTCAGCTCCTACTGCGTTGTAGAATTCAAGGTTCAACATAGGGCCAAAATTTCGACTCAGGTTATTGCTTGAAAATTCGCACGTTTACGCAATACTCCAGCTCAATGGATACGTTCATCATTAGTCGAATGGACATAAAATTTCTTGAAAAATCGCAAATTGCGTGTTGAAATTTTTGACTGACTTAGTGACGGTTCCATTTCAGTTCAGACATGCTTAATCATTTTCCGCAGATTAATGTTGCAGTATCACGACGAGAAATATAGTTGGGAGAATCTCCTAGGAATTACCCCGACGAAAATTCAGCAACGCACGTGGCGCGACTATCCCGGCGTAATAGCTGAACAATCGCGACATTCCGCGCCTCTCTCCGTATCTCTCGCTTTCTTTTTCTTTGAAGGCGCCATTAGCCGCCCACGCGTTATCGAGCCTTTGTTTCCCGCGGAAACCGCGGAACAAAGACGCCGATTGTCTATCGGCCACGAGCGGACGAGCGAGCGAATCGGCCGTTCACTCCAACGGGCCGGATGCCCACTGTCGACGTATTACAATCAAAGCTGCGCCAGTTCATAGAGCCACGCGCGCGCGTGCAGGTTTACGATACACGTCGCGTCCTTGTAATTCGACAAAGGAACGCGTATCGAGGCGTAACTAATTCACAACACGACGACCCGATCAGCCGCTTCGTCGGACACCGCGCCGAAATGCGCGCGCCTCGTCTAGAGAGAGATGCGGCCATCGATTACGGTTTACGCGACAGAATAGATGGCCGAGAATAGGTCGGTGGAGCGAGGGGGTATTATACGATACCATTAAGCGGCACGGAAACTGCTAAAATTTGAAGTAGCCTGGGTAAGTCCGACGGCGCGGCGGGCACAACAACGCAACGCAGCCGACGACGACGATAATGCCTAATGCCCGGATATCGAGTGCAGGTGCAGCGAGCTAGCCAGAGCGGAGTCGTGGGGTGAAAGGGGCGAGGGGGTGGGCGCGGAGGGTCGCGCAGCTTTGTGCCCGGGGAGCATAACGGAAGGAATCCGCGCTAAGCCAGCGCGGAACGGAACGGCCAGCAAGCATGCAGGTGGTGGCCATTAATACCGGCGAAAGTTTGCAATGTTCTTCCTCCGACACGAGCGAGACCGACCGACCGACCGACCGACCGACCGACCAACTCACCGACCGCCACCTCCCCTTTCCTTCCTCATCTCGCGTAATTCCGCGGCTCCCCCGGCCGCCCGGTTCCCGAGGGTGAAATGTGTATTTTGGTCTTACGTTTTAATCCAACATACTTTATTGTCGCTGCCGAATGGAAGCTCCGCAGCAAGCCGTCGGATCTGTCGCGTAGCTTAAGGGTTGTAACGCTTGCAATTTGCTCGCGACACACGCGGCTCATACGGGGTGTATCGATGTCGGGCGCGTTCGATGGTGCGGGATCGCGGAATAAATTCGATCTTGACGCGCGCGACATTCCGCGAGAGAACGTAATCGCTTCTCGCGGATTCAATTTAGATTTTGTTCCTCAACTTGCGAGGAAACACGTGCCCGGACGTTTCTGATGGGCTTCGCATGTATCGTGCAGCAGTTAGAAGAGAGATACGCGTGTTCCTTGACACGTGTTTCTCCGCGCGCTTGAGGCAACTTTTCGAAGGAACTTTCCCACGTATCTTTTCAACACTCAAATGACATTCCTGAAGAAATCAAATGTTTGAGGTCTGTTGAGTACCGTATAACATTTGTCAATTGAACTCCTTAACATGCGCGATAGCATGTACAAGAGAAAATATGTGTCTCTTACTTTCAGCTGCTCTGCAATCTAAGGCTCATTATTAACAGCTGTCACTTGGTACTTGTCTCATGTGAGATACTCAGATTTTTATTCAGAGTTAAATCCGCGACTCAACTGAGAAATTTCTCATCTTCTCATCTAACTCTGAATTAACTTTAAATCCGAATATCTCACTTGAAACGAGTTTCAAGTAATAACTATTAAGGGGAATGCTGGATACCGACATAATTTTCGTAGTTTGCGCTATTTTTCTATTTTGTTGCATTGAATGCTTTTACGTACAGTAAAAGTATCAATGTCGATGCATGAAAAGACGCTACATATTGCATCGAAAATAACAAAAATTCTTTGGTTTTGATATAATATTTTTGGTCTCTCTTTCCATTGACATTTGTACTTTTTCTGTGTAAAAGCATTTGCAATTCTATACAACCAAATAGGAAAATTGTGAAAACTGTCAAACTAAAATATATCGGTAGCCAGTACTATTTTAATATATGCGTAAATTTCATCAACATTCAAGGAACACTTTTAGTTGTTCTTTTGTTGCTTTATTTATCCGATGCTGTAACAAGCATTTCCAAATTCGCAATTGGCAATTATAGGGATACTATATAGACGGCCTAAAATGAAGAAGTTTTTTACGAATTTAAAAAAAAAAATGATAAGCATTATCAATAAAGCAATTTACTGCTCTTTTATATAAAACTTTAAAAATTATTTAGATTTTTTGTAGAAATAAAAATATTTGTAGACTGTACAGTTGGCGCCAATAAATGGCACGTGAAAGAAGTTTATAAAGAACCTCTTCATTTCCGACTATCATTTCCGATCTATAGTGTTCCTCCCCTTAATGACAACTCGCGATTACGGGCTCTGTAAATCGCGAATTTGCAGAGAAAGAGAGAAAAAGGCGTTCAGAAACAATGAGCAAAATTTGGAAAATATTTCTGTGCACATTACGCGTTCTCGCAGTCGTTTTAACATTGCAATCTCGTTGAACTCGCGGTCGCGATACAGATCGATCGCACCAGCGCGAGGTGGAAAAGTCGCACCAGGGCAGCATGGCGAAGCGCGACCGGGCGGGATTAATCGCCGCTATTATTAACGGAGCTCTCCTCGTTATATCGCGATTCCAGTGCTCTAATATATGTCCGACTTCCTCGGGCTGGCTGCATTGCCGGCCGATTAGAATCAATGGCAGGAAAGTCTCGACTCGACAAAGGGAGGAAACGCCGATCGGCGGCCGCGCACTGGTCGTTATTATTAATGAAGGCACCCCCGATATATCGCGATGACCGCCACTAATATATGTCTTCGGATTCCGCGGAGGAGCGCGCGAGCGGGACGATCGATAGTGAGAAAGTCGTGCACGAGAATGCGAGCGAGGAGGAGGCTGCTCTCGAGATCGCCGCCCCGACCAACGACGATGGCGGACTCGCTATTATTATTAATGAAGGTCACCCCGATACGGCCCGCGATTCCGTCGCTAATATATGTCCTCGAATTCGGCGAGAGGCCGAGAGAAAGAGAGAGAGAGAAGCGATTCGAATCAATAGTAGGAAAGTCGCGGCCAACAAAGGGAGGAAATGCCGATCGAGGTCGTTGGCGGACCAACATGGCCTGTGCAAGTAGCTATTATTATTAATGAAGGTCCGCGGCGATATATATGTCGCGCGTATCGCGCACCCTCGCAGGAATTCTCACGGCTACCCTCTTCCTTCCCCTCATGACCGAGGTCTCTCCCTTATTCTCGATAAAATTCGAGAACATTTCGCTGGGCTTGCAAAGAGGAAGAGAAAGAGAGAGAGAAAGGAAGTCTGTTTCCTTTGTTGGCGCGTACGGCCTAACGAGTGAGCCACTGTGAGATATCACAGCTCGTAAATCGATAGCGAATGAGGGTTCCTAAACGCGACACCCTCCGTTAATCCCTGAGACGTCTGACGACGGGCGAGACGTCTCGCAGTAAGTAGTGTGAGAGATAGATAGATAAATGGGTAGATAGATAGAGAGAGAGAGAGAGAAAGAAAGTGGAGAATCCACCGCTACGCAGCCACCCCCTTCGAGGGCGGATGTCCGGCAAGAGTCGCTCTCCCGCCGTTACAGCACTCGGGGAAAAACACCATCGATTACTCTCGCGGGCTATTGGCGCCAAGATAAATTACAGACGGAGGGAGGAAATCGCTGAGGATGTGTCCGCCGGCGCTCGGGGCGGCGTGACGCAATTATTGAGTGCGCGCGCGCGCCGTTATCCGCGATTACGACGCGATTTTTCGCCGGTGAAAATCTATTTCTATTAAGCCGACCCTCTCCTCTCGCCACCGACGGCGATTACTTATCATTAATAAGATGATAAGACGCGAATACGCCGCGGCTTCGCCTCGGTGGCGGGATTTCCTGCGCTGCGGTAGCACAACCCTCCCTCAACCCACCTCGCTGATTTATACCGCCGTGCTTTTTCGTTGAAGCGCGCGTACACTCGAACCAACCGCCACGTCGATCAAAGATCCCGGTAATCCGGGCTAAATTGATCGACTCGAGACGTCACGATATCGCGCACGCTGCTCTCACTGCGGTGTTCTGCGAGAAGAGAGAATGATTGATCTCATGGTAAATTAAAGGCACTCTCGGCGTCAACTATACGTATTTTTTATAACAAAAATATAGAGTAGGAATATGCACATATGAAGTTATTCTCATTTTATCGTAAAAATATTATTTACTACAAAAATTATTTTTCCCCGGTTACTTGAATAAACAATTATTTCACTGCATACGCAGAAAGTATTATTTTTTTCTTTTATTATAAATTCGTGTTTCTGATGGTGCAGCAGCAGATTGTCGGTAAGATTTATCTATCGTGTTGAGGAGAATACACTGAGAAAAAATAGTGTGATCTAACTAGAATTGTAGCTATTTTTGTCCCATTCCTTTTACATCAGTCAGGCAACAATGTGTCGAGATCGAAAAAGGGTAACGCGCGCGATGTACAAATTGCTGCTCCTCTCGGTGCTCGTCAAAATTCTCTCCTTGCGTTCCGACGTGTTTCGCTTCGTGCACGCGTGACCGGTGTTATTTACGAGACAGCGTCGAGCGTGTGCAACGTGACGCGATGCGACGTCTTCAGCTAGACACAAGACACCTAATGACCACTGGTGAAAGCCGATCCCGGATCGAAAGTTCGTCGACTGCGGCGGACTAAGTTCCGGAGTAGTCGCGCGACCTCCGCGTCGTTTAATAACTTATAAACGCGACAACCTGGGCGCGCGGACGGGGACGTATCAAGAAGAAGGCTATAGCCACAAAGTTCCATGAGGACGACGACGTCGTCGACTAGTACGCGATCGGGTGTGCCGTGAGGCCTGCGGATTAGAGACCTTAGGAGAGCCACTTACAGAGGTCCACGCCGTGGTAAGCGGGGGTGAGAGCGAGCAGAACGACGAAGAGGTGATGGACGGCAGGTGGCGCCCTTCTGGCGAGGAAATCCAAGCTTTTCACCATAGCTCCCTTTTCCTGCGAGGGCTTCACCCTCGCCCTTTCCTCACCGCGACTCCCGCCGTGCCATTTCTGCCTCGTCAACCTGAAACAAAAAGAGGTGCAATCGTTATGTCATGCTCGGCGATTGTCGTCGTCGTCGACGCGACGGAACAGGCGGTCGACAAAGCGAGTTCGTTTCGTCGGCCGTGTTCTCTTTCGCTTTTTGTCTCTGTCTATCTCGCCCTCCGGAGGTACGAATCCGCCGTCCTGGCGGTGAAATGATGCGCGCAGTGTCGCGGTGGAATGTCAAGCCTGAATGTTAAGGACGTTGGCTTTAGCAGCCGCCGCTGGTATCGCGCTCCGTGTATGCCAGAGTTGTGATTCGCGAGATGCCGTTATGCGTGAGTGACGTTGTCAGCGTGAAGATGTTTCTGGCGTGAATTTCGCTGCGCGTTTCCCTCTGTCTCTCTCTCTCTCTCTCTCTCTCTCTCTCTCTCTCTCTCTCTCTCTCTCTCTCCTATCTCCCTCTCGCGAGAGTATGTATTTAGTGGTCAAATGGAAAATAATTAAGACCATGTCGTTAGTATCGAGTTTCATCAGCGTGAAATCCTGAATTTATAATTTTCCCCGAATTGATGGAGGCTCGCCAAATTGCCATTTCGCAGAAGGTAATTCTGCCGTAAATTTTGTTGCAATTCTATCTCTCTCTTTCCCATTTTTTTCTCACGATTTAATTATCAGACAAAAAGATACTTAAAATGACGATATTATGAGTATCTAACTCAATTTTTTTTAATTTGCTATAAATTTTGCTATAAATTTTGCAAAGGATGTGGCCATATTTAACACCATTTTGCGACATTTGAAATCTTAAATTATTTTTTGATAAAATTAATATTTATAATCTTGTCTACAATCCCTTTCTCTAATCCCATATCCTGTAAAAATCCTAACGATACTATTTTATTTTGACAATATGTATCTTTTTGGGCCATATTTTCTCCTAAATGATGATACGCATCACTTTGATACTTGTATATCTTTAATTTACTCACCAGTAGCTACAATTTTATCAAAAAATAATTTAAGATTTCAAATACTACAAAGGACTAAAAACTTATGAGAGCTCGGCCGCTCACTTTTTCTCTTTCGTGATATCTCATTGTGTCAAAGGAAAAATACTCAAGGTAACATTATTACGAGCGTCGAGTTTCACGTCGCAGTGGAATTAATAATTCCTCCGATTCGAAGAAGAGCTCGCCAGATTGAAACTTCACAGAGAACAGTGCGGATCTCGCGAACGACAGCGGCACTCACGTCTCTTCCCCGCGTCTGCCTGTAACGCTCGTTTAGCCGATTACGCGGTGCACGTGTGGCAGGAGCGTTTCCTTCCCGTGGCAAGCCGAAGGGCGCAGTTAGACTCGCACGCCGCGGTGCACGTCATACAACGTTCCCGGGAACGAACAAGAAGAGCGGGAATGCGGCGCGTGTCAAGCTTTACGTAAAGACGCCCCGAGAGAGTAAAGACGCCCCGACGACTTAGACTCGAATCGCGAATCTCTACGTGAACGCGTAGCTCGCGACCAGAATCGAAGCGACCGAGAACAACGATCAACGACTCATTCTCAGCCCACCAGATCGATCAGCCGATTGATCAGTCAACAGAGAGTGCGTTCCTTTCTCTCTCTCTTTCTCAGTTTACGCGAACTCTCCAGTACACGTCAGACGAGCGTGTATAAGCTCACTCCGCGCCGCATTCTTCCCCCTCCCACCTCCCTCTCTCTCTCTCTCTCTCTCTCTCTCTCTCTCTCTCTCTCTCTCTCTTGATGCAGCCGCGAGGAAGGTGCGATTCCCCGTGTCTCGACTTTGATGGAGCACCCGCCGGTAATTGCACAGACGGTGAATAAATAATGGCGAGAACGGTAGTAAGAAGTCGCTTTCTCGGTCGTAGGCCTCTCGCATGCTCGGCATTAAACATACATGCGGCAGCTTATAGTCGCGAGGCGCTGTAAAATCTGTTCCTCATGTCGCGTCGCGTCACGTCGCCCCTTGCTCTCTTCTCGGTCGTTCAAGAGGAACCCCGATAGGTAGCTAGGGTAGAGGTGTAGTTGGGTTAGATAGGTAAGAGCATTTCGCGCGCTCGCGAAATCCTCCTCCTCTGCTCCGTAGCAGCAGCTGCCGCTTGGGTCGTGTAGGGCCACTCATCGTTGCAGGTCTTATTTGAGTCCGCGGCGAGGCGCAGGTATACACGATGCATCGCGACATCCTCACGACGTATCGGCGATGATCGTGTCGGCGAGTTGATTTTCCATAATCGAGCGCTAGAATATTTATGAGGTAAACGAGTCGTTCTGGCTATTTCTCGCGCGTGGAAATTAACTCTCTCTCGCTCCCTCTTTTTTCTCTCTTCCCCTTTCCTTCTCTCTCCCTCTCGTTACGAGAGACGGATAATTGAATTACGCCGGGACGCTTTTCGTGTTTCGCTCGGCGAGCGAGAGCGGCGTTTTTATCGTCGCCTCGCGTGTCCGAGCGCACACACGCAAGAGTGTAGCGCTTGCTGTAACACGACGACGAGAACGATCTCGACGATTAAAACACGACATGGACACGAGATCCGGTCGCGGGACTGATCGATGGAGGAGAGAGAAGCTCGTTGGCGCGCGCGCGCGCGCGAACGGACGGCGCAGGATTATTAAACACCGGCGGTGAACGCGAAATCGTAAGTTGTCGCGATATTTAATTAAACGTCGCGGTGGCCGAGGCTACACGGTAACAACACCGTCGTCTCCTCCACACCTTCTCGCCTCTCGCGCGCAAACATTTAATCTCCCTAAGCGGCGAGTGTTAAATTAGAAATTATCGGAAAACAGTATCGTTTATACGTCGAGCCGCCATAAAAGCTTTATCTTCTCATTGTATTCATGAGGGACTTAACGTCCGCGATACGCTCCGTCGAAATCAATTCCCCCACGTCCTCACCTTCTCTCCTCCCGCTGCGACGGCGGCAGCTCGGAGTAAGCAGCACTTCGTGCGGCGGCCGCAAAATTATTCATCGATTGTTTTCTTTTCATCTCGCCGGGGACCAGCAGGACGACGCGGGGGACAGATTATCGCGATCGTTTCCAGGCAGGTCCTATTCGCGTCGCCGTTGTCCTTTTCGTTGGCCGGCCAACGTCATCTACGCGAAATCCCGGCCGATTATTGCGCCGTCGACGCGGTTAAACCAGAGGAGGCGCGGGATTCTCCGTTGATGCGATCGGCATATCGTAACCCCGCGAGATACGCGCTTATGCGCGTTTATACATTCGCGTAGTCGCGCGGCAGCCGGTTTGAGCCGCGATGTAAGCCGCGGTATCCTGGTTCCACGTTTCGAATCTCTTCGTTTGCATAGGAATGAGTTTATGCAGATTAATACACGCGCGTGTTGCAGACACGGTCCGTGTGGCGGCCACGTGGCCCACGTAGGATGCGAATCGCGGCGGACGGCGCCTACGCGTGGGCAGAGGTGCGTTTTATCAGCCGCAACGAGACTTTGCGGATTTCTGGCCGCGAGAAAAACGCGCCACACGCGTCGACTTGTATAGCGAATGATCCCGGGCTTGATTTTGGGCGTATATACGCGGGAAAAATGTTTGGTCGGGTCAATTTCTGGTGAGGCCATGAACGAACCAGAAAATTCCCGTAAAAGTTATCAAGAATTCCGTTCAAGTTAACCGGAAATCTTGCTAGCTTGAACGAAATTCTGGTTACTTCAACCGGAATTTCGAGTCCGTTCATATTTTACCAGAAATTTGCTTCATCCAAGCACATGTAATAAACGTTTTTTTCCATTTAATAAACGTTAAATAAGTTTTTGTAACTCGGAATTTTGTTTTTCTTATGTGAGACTCATGAATAGGGACGACTGGGACTAGTTGGCAAGTTATGTCCATAAAATTGAAATTGAAGTGGAAATTATATATTTTTTACAATGCTTTTTGTAAAGCTCTGGACTATACTGAAATTGTAATATAAGTCGCAATATAAACTGAAATTGTGGCTAAAGAGTAAATTTTACGTTTTATCTAATATTAGTTTTACCTAGTACAATAAAAAAATATTCGTGTAATTATAAAAGAATTTTTGGTTTTTATTTCTAAAATAAAAAATAAAAAGCCCACCATTTATGATTGTTTGAGTACAATTTTGTTGTAATTTTTGCTACAATATTTCGTCTGTGCAATAAACGAAATTGTGGAAGAAACAATGGGAGAAAAAGGATCGCGTACTCTTCCTTTTAGAAGACAGATGCTTTTCCTATATTTCAGTAGAAACTTGTTTTATTATAATTATCGTGTGCATAGAATTTTGCTACATTCATAATTATGAAATATTTAAAAAAATTACATATTTATAGTTATATTAAATAAAATTATACTCACATACATACATTATGTTTCTTACAAAGAGGAAGTTTTGCTATCTTATAAAAGAAATTTTGCGAATAACTTCTCTCGTTCTCTTTCTTTCACGACAAATATAATTGAAACGCATGACCAACGTAACCTCTGGCTGACCCGGTTTTCCCCGACGTTGCTGTGGCTTGAGAATCGGGAAGGCATGTTCCGCGCTCACCACGCGTACGGAACACGAGCTCCGATCTCGATCTCGTCGGTTTTCGCGGGGACTTCGATTCCGTGGTGGCTCGTCGCTCTCTCGGAACGACATTGACGGAGAAGCGGGACGCCGTAATGGGAATGTCTCTTATCGTTGGGCGGTCATTAATTCAGTTTCCGATATGCATTCCCGGAGTTTCTCCCGAACGCACCACGGTTTCCGTAATTATCCGGAATTAATTCGACATTATTTATGTGCCCGTGTGCGCGTGAGAGTCGGTGTAAAAGATGAAACGGTCGCGGGGAGAAAAGATGGAATTCCGTAAGCCGCGGAGCGGGACGCACGGCGATTAAAATAACCCATCGCGCGCGCAAGACCGACATAAATAGCGGCTGCGTTACTCAATTAGCGCGCAAAGCGGCGTTGCCTTTACCGTGACGCGTGTCAGCCGCTAAATAACAGACGCGGATTTCGCGACGGCGGCTGCGTTCTTCGGCCTTTCTTCTT